AAAATCCTGACAAGAATAGCTAGCAAAATTTTCGAATTATTTTTGGTTATTTTTCAAAACTGCATCGGAAGTAAAATGTTGATCATCACCGCAAAATACGAGTCAAAAATTCTTGAATCGCTTTGAACTACGTGGGAAATAATTCAGCGAAAATATGCGCACTATAATCGTGTTGTAAAGAATAACTTTGCAATCTAAATATTATCCATGCACAGACAAGTACCAGAAAAAACGGCTGTTACTCTTTTTATTGCTCACTCCAAAATACTATAAGCCCATTTTTAATGCAACAAATTTCTTATGACAAGTTAGCTATAGCGAAATTTTCGGATTATTTTTACTTTTTTCAAAACTGAATCTGATTTTTTCTTCAAATATTAGTAGGTCTTTAAGGATTTTGCGACCCGGGTTTCCCAAGAGAGGAGCACACTATACCCAAGAAGTTTTGCATTAAGAAAGGTGTTTATTAAAAACAGACCAGGAAACTTATTCGTTGTAGAGAGAGAGTCCACCTGTATTACATTATTAAGTTCAACTTTCAGTCACTTTTCGTCGTTCTCGTATTGTAAAAAAAAAAAAGACTTGGAAACTCCTTTCGTCTTTCAATGATGGCCTACTCGACAGAACAAAATGAAATTGTTGAGTTTTTTGATAGTTTTAAATGACGCATGACGTTTCCAACATCTTAGCTTTTTCAAAATTTCAGTCAGAAAGGCTTTTTTAATGCCAAAACTTACGTATAAAAATGAGAAAAAGCTAGGATACTATAGTATTTGTTTGATAAACTTCGACACTTACAAATGACTTTGCTAGCCAAGTATATAAAGGAACCACTGAGCAGCATTTTGCTGTTCGAATCTGAACTCATTTCTTGACTTTTCGAATAATTTTTTTCTAAATTTTTATGGATTTTATCTTTGCGAAGAAAAATTCGTGCGAAATAAAAACGATTAAATTGTTATACGAAAATATTTTTCCAGGCTTTTCTTCTGAAAAAAAATTATAAAATGAAGGAATTCTTCAGGAAATGAGATCCACTCGCGTCTAGGAAATCTTAAAAATTGTTTGTTGAAAGAAACCAGAGACTTGAGATTTGATACGGGAAAGATTCTCAGGCCACAAGTTTCTGATCCGGCAAAGAGAAGTATTCGGAAATCCGAGGGTTTTTTAAAACAATACTTTTTAGGTACATTTCTGGGTTATTCATCAATATTTTCTTTGCCAGAAGGTATTTTCGGGGCATCGACTCCTATCATTCTATACGTCCCCCTCGAGAGGGAACTCGTTTTTTTTTTCAGTGCCTCAGGAATGTCCGAGATTAAACCTCGGACCGGAAACTTCAGACTTGGTAGGAAGTCCGTATCGGAAGTACACAACGGAAAGAACTGGATTGCGTTCGTTCGCCTTCGAGGGCAGCCATTTTCTCTGAATAGGTTCTGCAGACTTTTTTTTTTGCACTGATGAAGTTTTGGAATGTTTCTGTCACGAGCTCTTGAGCAACAAAAAAGTCTCGAAGCTCAATCGGTGACGAAAACTAACGGAAATTCTGGATTTAAAAAAATCTGAACACTTGAAAATACTAATTTGCATTTTTTTTAAAGTTGAGTCCAATTAGTCCACGATCCATTGAAAAAAATATACGTATATTTATATTCTATAGTATGGTGCTTCACTCAAGTATTATGTCAATTCCGGAGTAAATTATGACACCAATTCACAGTTCCAAAAATGTTAGTTATAAACAGATGAATTATTGATGATCAATTCCATGAGATCTTGTACCTCTCTAAATTTTTTTTCCATTTTCTATAGTTTTCATTTCTTACTAAAAAATATTAAGGAAACAAGAAGCAGCTTTTCAAACTGCATCACTGTCTTTTTTTATATAAAGGCAAAAAATCTTGAAAAAACGATTGCAGCACAAATTCCCAAAAAAAACACAAAGTTTATCTGCCTTTTGAAGATTGAGTGCAGACATTTTCGCCAAACTACTGTGCAAATTCATTTTATGAGAATGCAGTATTTAAAAGTTTTTAATGAATTTATTGAAACAATTTTTTCCACAATGCACCAATGTGAAATTGAGTTGCAGAATGTACAACAGGGTTCCAAAATGCGGACGAATTACTTCTTTGACGGTTTCCATATGTTGGAATATTCTTCGTGTTCGATCAAATTTTACCATAAAATGAAAAAAGGAGCATGTTCAACAAAAAATCTTGAAAACAAGGAAAAGTCTCCCAAAAATCAGATAAAATAAAATTCATGACGTTTATATACAAAAGAAATCCTCAGTTTTAAACGGGTAAAACCGGACTCTTCTTCGGTTGTTTTTTAGTATTTATAAGAAACTTTAAAACCATTTAACAGAAACCTCGAAAAAAGAACTACAAATCCGTCTAAAAAAAGTCAAATTGCACACTGTGAGTGAAATTGTCCTAATTCCGTTGAACATCGTTATTTCAGGGGCCCACTTATCGTATATCGCGTCTTTACAATATGGCAATGATCAAAGATTTACGACTGAAAATTCTCAGAAATTTTGAATGAATCCTAAAAAGCCATTTTGGCAACACATGTAGACCCTCTCTACAATAATCTTGTCTACGAAGGTTTTCTCTGTATAATGAATTTTTCGGTCCCATCGGATTATCTCCATGTTATCAGAGTTCTCTGCAGGGAAATTATCTTTACGACGAATTTTTTCTGTCCCTTGAATTTCGGTGTGGAGAGAGCCTTACCTGTATAATGAATTTTTTGGGTTCCTTTCTTTTTTAGTTCTCTCTCAAAAGTATAGGAGTTCTGTACAACGCAATGTTGTCTACAACAATTTCTTATTGTCCCTTGGTTTTTGTTCTAGACAAGATATTTCACCCCTTCAACCTTTTTAATAATATTTTTCTGCAAATATTTTGCAACATTTACTTGGTCAACCGGCAAAAACAGGAGAATAAGGGTTGTGGCAGAATAATTTGGTACACTAAAGTACCACAGAACTACGCGCAATGTACATACAACCCGTACGTACGGTACATCTCATTACATGAGTTAAGAATCTTCATTGTCGTAAGGGGGGAGGAGTTTTAACGTCACGGTCATTGTAGGACCGTGACGTTGTAGGAGTTGTAATCGAAAGAACCTTTGATTGTAATAGTAAAACCTTGTGAAGGTTAAATATAATTAGTAGTATATAAGCTGATCTTTCTTCATATCATCGTTAGATCAGTTCAGTTCAACTGTGTTATTCATGTTATTCTCAAGCTTATTCCTGCAAGTCAAGCTTCTTGAGTTGTTTATTCATCTTATACTTGTGTGAAATAAAGTGTATCCCTTTAAGGTAGGAATTCCAAAACAGAATCCTGGTGCTGTCCTGGACTGATCAACTTGTTTTATTGTTTATCAATCAGCACTTGACATCAAATTATATTGAAGACATCTGTAGACAATGTACAATAAATTTGTCTGGGGAATTAAACATGAATATTTGAGAAAATTTGAGAAATTACTCCATTTTTCTACACAGCCAATTTAGGATTGACCTGTGCATTCCTGGAAGAGAGTGAGGGAGAGAATTGAGCCACCGTCATGTCATTAGATTCTTCAGACAGTACGTGTGTGATTTGTGTGTGAAAAAGAAGTACCGTATGTTTTTTGTGAATCTAATCTTGGGGTTAAACAAAATTGAAATACAATTCTATCCTTTTCTTTGGGATTTCATAAAAGAAATCCCCATCTGAACCCGACAGCTGATTNGAAGGTTTTCTCTGTATAATGAATTTTTCGGTCCCATCGGATTATCTCCATGTTATCAGAGTTCTCTGCAGGGAAATTATCTTTACGACGAATTTTTTCTGTCCCTTGAATTTCGGTGTGGAGAGAGCCTTACCTGTATAATGAATTTTTTGGGTTCCTTTCTTTTTTAGTTCTCTCTCAAAAGTATAGGAGTTCTGTACAACGCAATGTTGTCTACAACAATTTCTTATTGTCCCTTGGTTTTTGTTCTAGACAAGATATTTCACCCCTTCAACCTTTTTAATAATATTTTTCTGCAAATATTTTGCAACATTTACTTGGTCAACCGGCAAAAACAGGAGAATAAGGGTTGTGGCAGAATAATTTGGTACACTAAAGTACCACAGAACTACGCGCAATGTACAATGTTGGGCATGCATGCCATGTAGAGTAATGTACTCAATTCTTAGAAGTAACAGCATTCCCCCCTCCTCAAAATTGCAGTGCCAGTAACATCCTGGCACTGCAACATCCTCAACATTAGCTTTCTTGTAATAGTAAAACCTTGTGAAGGTTAAATATAATTAGTAGTATATAAGCTGATCTTTCTTCATATCATCATTAGATCAGTTCAGTTCAACTGTGTTATTCATGTTATTCTCAAGCTTATTCCTGCAAGTCAAGCTTCTTGAGTTGTTTATTCATCTTATACTTGTGTGAAATAAAGTGTATCCCTTTAATGCAGGAATTCCAAAACAGAATCCGGGTCCTGTCCGGGACTGGTCAACTTGTTTTATTGTTTTTCAATTAGCACTTGACATCAAATTATATTGAAGACATTTGTCCTCAATATACAATAAATTTGTCTTGGGAATAAAACATGAATATTTGAGAAGATTTGAGAAATTACCCCCTTTTTCTATACAGCTAATTAGGATTGACCTGTGCATTCCTGGAAGAGAGTGAGGGAGAGAATTGAGCCACTGTCATGTCATTAGATTCTTCAGACAGTATGTGTGTGATTTGTTTGTGAAAAAGAAGTACCGTATGTTTTTTGTGAATCTAATCTTGGGGTTAAACAAAATTGAAATACAATTCTATCCTTTTCTTTGGGATTTCATAAAAGAAATCCCCATCTGAACCCGACAGCTGATTTCATGTTTTATTTTCAAATTCCGCCTCCTTTTTGTACAAACTTAGGTCACAAGGGTTTTGCGGATCACCCTCAGTCATTTACTGTACTGAGCTACCTGTTGAAGAACACTAACCTATAGAGAGAGCAAGGTTCAAGAAGAAATGTGCCGGGAAATTTGGGAAAAAGACTTTCTCCAGTTCCTCCGACCGAAAATTCCTTCTTTTGTTGACTCTCCTCCAGTCTTGGAAGTCAGAGGAGCCCCGATTGAGAAGAAAAGCCAAGAGGCCAGTACTCATTTGTTGGCCCTGCGGCCGCCGAAAAAAAAAGTGCTTTATATATAGGAAAGGCGGAGGAGGAGGAGGAAAAAATACTGGGGGGTTTTTTTCTTTTTTCTTTTTTGTTGCTCGGAGGAGAAAAAATTCTTCTCACCGAGTCCCGAACCAAGGATGAATTATAGTGTGTTCTGCTGTTTTACACTCCTTCCTTTATTTTTTTTATATATATTTGGGCAGCTGAATGGGTCTCGCCTCTTGTTTTCGGCCGAGGTGCGAGGAGAATGTGGCGCGCGGATTTTCGTGCGGAAATGGCGGCTGCGACGGATTCGAAATCAGTCGGCGGGGTCTTTTCAAGCTTTTATTTATTTATTTTTTAATCACTGCTTTCTTTCTTTCTTTCTTTCTTTCCATTTCGATGCGATGTATTATTCCTTGAAATTCCGAAACGAAGAAATTGGGATCCATGCTATGTTTTCATCAAGCCCTTCGTTTTTGCGTCAACGAATTGTAGGAATTTTGTTGTGCTTCGTTGGAGTTGGAAGCCACTCAGTTTCTGCTTCGATGGGATTTTGAGATTTCCTTAATTTGTATTTTGAAGCGTTTCGAATCACAATTGCGACCTTGTAGCATTCAAAAGTTCAGTTTTTTTTAAAATCCAGTTGAATTTGTATTCAGAGTAAAAAAGTTAGTAGAAATAAACGCTGGCGTCAGCATATAATAAATCGGGCCTCATCAGTACTTCATCTTAATAATATTGCGGCGTTTCTTTTCGGAGTGAAAAACAAATTTCGATTTAAAAACTTGAATATTTAAGATACAACTGATCATTCGGTAAATCATATGCTAGATTTTTCGAGCTCAGACAAAAACTCTTGGATGCTTGAAAAAACGTATCTTGCGGTAAAAATAGTTGATTGAACAAATGAAACTTTAGTTTCTTGGTTGCAATTAGTTAGAAGAATGAACAGGAAAAAATGATAATTCCCTAGCTTTCCTCATGTAACTGATGATGGCTGAGCAATAAGAAACTGAGGTATTTGGTCAACTTTTTGATCCGTGAAATGCGAAATTGAAATGTTTATAACTCAAAAGACACGCTAACGTTTTTTTTATTCCTAATGCATTAGAAAACATTTAATTAAGGGAGGAAATTTATATTAATGATGGCTGAGTAATTTTTGTTCCATTCGAATTCATGTAGATTTTATGCTTTTTTGTGGTTAAAGAAAACACAAGGGCTTCATAATTCTACTCGTTAAATACACTATAGATATAGAACGTCGAACAAAAAATGCTTCAATGGCTGCTGGATATCTTCTTTTTTCATCAAGCCCTTCGTTTTTGCGTCAACGAATTGTAGGAATTTTGTTGTGCTTCGTTGGAGTTGGAAGCCACTCAGTTTCTGCTTCGATGGGATTTTGAGATTTCCTTAATTTGTATTTTGAAGTGTTTCGAATCACAATTGCGACCTTGTAGCATTCAAAAGTTAAGTTTTTTTTTTTTAATCCGGTTTAATTTTTATTCAGAGTAAAAGAAGTGAGATGAAATAAACGCTGGCGTCAGCATATAATAAATCGGGCTTCATCAGCACTTCATCGTATCAATATTGCGGCGTTTCTTTTCGGAGTGAAAAACAAATTTCGATTTAAGAACTTGAATATTGTATTTAAGATTGAACTGATCATTCGGTAAATCATATGCTAGATTTTTAGAGCTCAGACAAAAACTCTTGGATGCTTAAACAAAAGTATCTTGCGGTACAAATGGTTGCTTGAAAAAAATGAAACTTTAGCTTCTTGGTGGTTGAAATTAGTTAGAAAGATGAACAGGAAAAAATAATAATGTCTCAGCTTTTCTCATGTATAACTGATGATGGCTGAGCAACAAGAAACTGAGCTAATTGGTCAACTTTTTGATCCGTGAAATGCGAAATTGAAATGTTTATAACTCAAAAGACACGCTAACGTTTTTTTCATTCCTAATGCATTAGAAAACATTTAATTAAGGGAGGAAATGTATATTAATGATGGCTGAGTAATTTTTGTTCCATTCGATAAGTACATCTAAAATACGAAAAAACACCAATTTCTTTTGTGTTCCCGAAGTATTAAGATGAGCAATTTATGTGATATCTATATCTTGCAGCTTGTTTTTTACGAAGTTACCGACGACCTATAGAAGAGAATTGTTAAAAAGAATATAAACCATTTGGAGGTTTTACAGTAATTTTAGAATAAAACACTATTGTTTCGATCGCCGAAAAAAAATTAATTGATTATGTGGCAATTTTACGTCCCGCTAATTTAGATATTTGAGTCACACGATTCTTTATTCTGGTAATTTTTTTTAACGAAATGACAGCCTATCAAGGTAAAGACTTGGAGTTGTTTCAACTTTTTTTCTCTGCCTATGAATTGTCCTCTTTTTTTTCTTGACCTCGCAGGAATCAATTTTTAGGACGAAGTACTCAAAATTATCTGCATAAAAGCAATGCAAATATTCTTGCGATCTAGGCGTTTTCTATGAACCGGAACAAACCCTCCCTTGCAGGCATCCCCATGTGAAACTCCAGAAGAATGTGGGCCGTGGATAATTTGGTATTTTTTAACGAACCGAAGTACTGGTGGTTATTTCAAGCGACGTTCATGTACAGTACAGTACAGTATTTGTAAATCCTGCACAGTAGATTAAACCCTGAAGCCAAGGAAGGTCCTGCACAGGAAGTAATTCCGGTGGGACAGGTTCAGGTGTTCAGATAATGGGCCGCCCAAAATTTAGAACTATTTCTTTTTTTTTTTTTAAACATCTTTCGAATCATGCGGAAGACAACATTCCAAAAAGTGGACTTCCTGATAATAATAAGAAATCCCCCTTTCAACAAAACTTCCGTTAAAAGTGTGCGCATTAACGAACATTTGCTCTGTGAAAAAATCCTAGTTAACACGAAAAACAACTCTGGTGACGAAGTTTTTTCGGGGAAAAATCCATTAGGTTACTCCTCACTCAAACAAGTCAATCCAAAACTCAGTTTTTTTTAGTTATATTTTTCTGCGTTCCTCTGCATTCATAGAAAAAAAATCAAGGCAGGTCTGTCAGCAAAGCGTTCATTCATTATTCAACAATTTCAGTTGCCTTTTGGGTTCAAAAAACCATTATTATTTGCCCGATGGGAAGATGGGAAATTTTCTGGGTGAGAATTTTTTGCTTGGAGCCCATTTGGTTAATCAACCAATTATTCAGCATGCACAGTACAATTTTCGGCATTCTCCAAAAGCGTCAATCTCATTCACTGTCAAATTCCAACTCACATATCATTCTCATTACTATTTTTTACTTGTCCACGATGTGAATGAGTAGGTTTCCCAAATAATTTCCTGCAATGCTGGTTACGAGGGGTCTAGCAAAAGTTTTAGGAATAAAAATTGAAACGGCGTGCGATATTGAGCTTTAAAAAAATTTTTGATGCAAGAAAACGTCAGCCTTGTTTGTCGCATTTTGGCGTAAAATTTTTCAAAAGTCACCCAAACAGCTTTCTTCTCTTCACTCGAGAGATGCATCTTTTCGCTATTTTGTTGTTGTTGTTACTCAGATTCTCCTTTAAATTTCTGGAAATCATCACGGCATTAATACCAAAAATCTGCGCAATGGGTGCCTCAAAACCACAGAAAGCTGCAAAAGATTTCTGCAACACATGTCGAAAAGGGCTGAATACTTTTCAGCCTTGTGCTAAAGAAATTTTTTTAAGGAATCCGCCGTTTAAAATTTTATTCCGAGGAGTTTTCGTTGGACCCATCGTATGTGCTTTAAAATGAAACAAACGCATATTATTTGCATTTGACACATCCGGGTCGTCGGTTCATTTCCGAGTGAGTCTGGAAATCCAGAGACCTTCGGACAAAGGAAGAAAAACAAGGCATTTTGGGGACTTGGAAACGAAGAAGATGGTTTGATGGTGGGGCTTGCCATCGGACGGATAATCAGGAGTGAAATTGCTGCACGCGCGAAAGCGTTCTTGGGAAAAGCGGGGTTCCATCCTTGAATCCGACACCAAGGTTGCCGCATTCTTTTCCAGGACAAAAAGAAATGATTCGAAATACAGTGAGACCCCCTCATGCGGAAACCTCTACATGCGGACAATTCAAGATAGGGACACGTATTTTCCCATTGAAAATTATTTTGAAAAGGCCCAACATGAGGACAATGATTTGACATGGGGACATTTTGTGATAAAATTGCAAATACATTTCAGGCCAAATTGCAAGAAACAGATATTTCCAACCCTAGAATTCATGTAAGAAAAGTTCTTGGGCATTTCTCTCACCAATTTACCCTCCATTTAGCTGATTAAAAAAATTACCTCCATAGTAGAGGGACTGCCTTGTCTCTTCTTCACTTGAATGTTTTGTTTTTTACAGAGAATGCCAACATTTCTATGTACTGTACAGTGGTATCAGTATTCAATTCTCCAAATGTCCATATTGTGTTGAAATATATTGAGTGGAATCAGTTTAAATTGAGAGACAATTTTTTAAAAGTACTTTAGTACCACTCATAAAACAGGTATCTTGTGGTTAATTTTTAATAAGTTACATTCAGACTCCCTTTTACTTTGAGATGAAACCCCGTGAGAACTATGTGGTTAATGTAGACGTAGGGAGGATCTCACTGCACACTGTATTTAAAAAAATAAAAAAGGAGACATGAATTGTAGGATATGATTTCAACAAAGATGACAAGGGATTTAAATTAACAGGACAAAATGATCTGCTGGGGAACTTGGCTTGGATGTTCTTGGTACAACCTCTAAAACAAGCAACAGTCTAAATTGGTCAAATAAATCAGGAAGTTTGAAAGGAGAGATTGCACAATGTGGAAGTTTCAGGGAATGTCCCTGTTGTGAGGAATTCCTGCTTTAAAGTAACTGCATGTCTTTATTTGGGTTTTCTAGTATTTATGTGATGCCTGACCCTTACGTGAATAACAGTTCGCAAGATTATTGTGCACCCAAGTCAGCAAAAAGCCCTTTTTTG